GCTGCGCCACCAGGGAGGGCCCGCATCTCAATACTTTTATAGTGATATAGACCAGCTGAGAACAGTCACAAGTGTGCAAACTGGTTCAAACCTGTTTAGACTGGTTCAAACCTGTTCAGACCGGTTAAAACCGGTTTAGACCAGTTTCAGCCTCATCAATCCAGTTTAGACTGGCTCAAACGGGTTCAATCTGGTTGAAACCAGTTCAGACTGGGTGATACCGACTCAGACTGTCTTAAGATCTGTTCGTGAAACCTAAAGTGTCCTACTGACAGTATCCCACAACTTCCTCAAAAGGATATCCTTTCCAAAAATCTGAGACATATTAAGATCTGTGAGACCAGTGGCAACAAGTCAAAATGGTACAAACTGGTTGAGACCAGTTCCAATCGGTTCAGATGGGTTCAAACCAGCTTAAACCGATTTTGTTATGGAAGAGGTCAGACCGGTTCAATCCTTCCTAATGGCTCATACAGTTGAGACCATTTCAGTATGGCTGAGACCGATTTCAACTGGTTCAAACCAGCTGAGACCTGTTCAGACAGTTTCCAACTGGTTCAAACAGGCTGAGACTGCTTCATATAACTGAGAGTGAAACCAACCGATTCTGCCCCCTACTGGCTCCAAACAGATGAAAATTTTCAAACACTTAGGAGGAGTTCAAACTGTGTCTGAACTGACTGAGTCTGCTTCTTACCTCTTCCATAACAAATATTTTTAAAATTTTATTATTAGCACCTCATCCAATAAAAGTAGGATAAAAATAGTAGTTTAAACAGTGTTCAAGAGAAAAGACTGTTAACAGTACTGTCTGTGTAAAGTATGATTGTAAATGAAAGATAAGGGTATATATAGGACCAGTATGTGTCAGTGAAGTCTGCTAATGAAAAAAAGCATGGACTTCAATAGGGAAGTGACACAATTGCCCAGCAAAAAAAGAACAGAATAAAACTGTGAATACATATATTCTATCTGTACCACAAATATTTCTCAATATATTTAAAATTTTTGTCTAAGTTGATTTTAACTTTTTTCAAGGATAATGTATAGCACATTTTCCCCGTGATGAAGCCTTTCATTCACAACCAATACTGTTTTTCAGAAACAGTCTATTCTGATAACGATAACACTATATTTTGTCCATTTTCCCCATGATGAAGCCTTTCATCACAACCAATGCTGTTTTTCAGAAACAGTCCATTCTGATAACTATAGCACAACTATATTCTGTCCATTTCACCATGGAGTGTAAAAACAAAGTTTCCTTTTAATTTGTGAGTTCTACTTTCATTACCAAGTGTACAAAGTTTATGAAAAGAAATAATCATGCTGGACAATTGAGAAAATCACTAGTTATCCTTACCATATCATTGCAGGAACTTCATGTGATAAGAATTTATCAGATGCCTACTATAGTCTTTGTGTGAGGGATACAGGGAACAAGCAGGTAAAGTTCCTAATGTCCTGGCCTTTATGTAGAGCCTCCCCCGCCTACACAAATAAGGAAATCAAAATCCAGAGAGAGAAAATGATTTCTGTACACTTAGTCAATGGGAGGACCACTGGCAAAACAAGAACCCACGTCTCCAGGCTCACACAGCAAAGAGGATATTCATTATAACTTGAATCGACTTCAGTATATACTGTTTCCAAAGGTACACACAAATTACATTTTCTAAGAGTGCATCCCGAAGAAAATAATAATAAGGCACAATCATTTCCAGTTTCACTAAGTGAATCACAATTTCATTATCATTATTGCAAAAGCTAAAACCTTGTATTTAAAAGGCATTTATTGAAAAGAGCACCTCATCTAATGGATTGCTCAATGCCCGATTACTTATTAGGCCAGCAGGTATTAGGTATGAGTTCTGCCTTTTTTTCTGAATTTTTCAACTTTACATGATGCAAAGATATCCATTCGGTAGAACCACAGTACCACACTCTCTCATGATGCAGGTCCTGGAAGCAAGCAGCAGCTCCCACTCATCCAAACTACCAACAAGGTAAATAACAGACACTTTACAGTGTAACTGGGGACCTGTCACTGTAGCATCCCCATTATCATGTTTCATTCTTCAGGTTCAAGGTGCTTTTGCTGTACATGTTAAGGGAAGAACCCATACAACCATTCCGTATTTTACTTTCAGTACTGTTCTGCATACATTACCTGCGATATTAAACACTTTATTACAAAACTAGCTTTGTGTTAGATGAGTTTGCTCCACTATAGGCTACTAGAAGTATTCTGAGCACTTTTTAGGCAAGTTAGGTAGGCTCAATTATGATTTTCCCCCAGGATAAGTTTATTAAGCACATTTTTTTTTAAACTTGGGATATTTACCAGGGCATCAGCTCCTCCAAACCAGCCCACGCTCTTTTGCTTCCTTCTCTCTCCCTTCTCGCCACTTCGGCCCCCCCGGCAGGGCGAATGGGCTGGGATAGAGGTACCGGCGTCTCCCGCTCAATTTCAATTCTCCCACGCCAGGGGCAGCACCGGACGCCAGGGTTTCCAGCAGTGAGCGCACCCGGCCAGTCACGCCAGCTGCCAGCACCTTAACCTTAGCCCCCGCACTCCGGCGCCGAAGCCGCCCGCAGCCGGGAGGCCAACGGGGCCCCGACAGGCCGGAGGCGCGTCCGCGGCACCCCAGGCCAGCGCCAACAGCCAATGTGGGGCCGCGCTGCACCTCCGGGGTCAGAGGCGCCCCCGCAGCCACACCCACAGACCGCGCGATGACAGCTCCTAGGACTAGGGAGGGCCGCGCAAACAAGAGCAGCCTCCCGTTCCGCTTCGGCCCGGCCCAGCCCAGGCCCGGCCCCAAACCGGGTTCGGCCCGCCGCCCTCGCACCCCCGCCCGCCTCCGCGCGCACCACCTGTCGGGCCGCTCTGCGCGCGGCCGGCGACGGACGCTCAGCCGGCCCCCAGAGTAGTGGCCAGCGGGGGCAACCCGGGGTCTCGGCCCCAGGGGTGGGTGCGAACTTTACCGGAGGGTGGGCCCCACGCAGGCAGTGTCTGTGCTCTCGATCTCCTGCAAGATCCGCTCGTGCTCCGGGACGGTGCCGAGACCTTCGCCGCTCTCCGCCATCTTGACTGGAAGCTAAGGCACCAGCAAGGCGCGTCGCCGAGCGGTCGACAGCGGCGAGCGGCTGGTGGCGCG